AACAGGGAAAAGAAAAGAGCTGAAAACTAGGACCTGGGAGGGGAAGAATAAAGAATAATAGTAAAAAGGACAAATGTTTTAATAATAATAGTAGTTTTAAAACAGTCAAATACAAGCAAACTACAAACTAGAAAAAAGAAAGAGAAAGAAAAGAAAAGAAAAATTTAAAAATTGGGGGAGGGTAGGGCAGAGAACCCAGAAGCTCTGCTTGAGCACACAGACTGGGATGGAGTTCCTGCGGGCCCAGAAGGTGGGTGGGAGTGGGGGATGGCCACACCTCCTTCACCAGGGGTGTAGGATATAAGAGTAACAAGGGGAATGTCGCACCTTTTCAGTTGTCCAGGTCTGGAGTGTCCTTGGGGTTATTGGCAAGCAGAACCTGTTCTTAATCCCCTGGAATGTGGGAGAGCGCTGTCTCTTTAAATATCCAAAATTGTCAAGCCACCCTCCCTATAGGCAAAATGGTGGCGCTCTCCAGACAGGCAAAAGTCCACAGCTCCTCCTGCCTTTCTCTTCGCCGGTGCTTTGAGTTTTATTTCCCAGCCACCAGAGCAGTCCTTCGTGTAGTCCCTGGCTAGCAGAGCTGATTTTTAGGTTAATTCTTAGGTACTATCACCACTCGGCACTCTCCACGCTGTCTGTGCCGTACTGTTGGGCTTGCTCAGGATCGCTGCCAAACCGCAGCTCCGTATGTCTCCTTTTTTGGAATTTTCATGCAAATTCTTCTGCTGGTTGGGGTTTAGTCCACTTCTATATCCTTCCCTTCAAGGCTCAGGGGTCCAGGATTATCTTCTGTGTCTATGTTAATTGATTCCCCTTTTCTTTGTTGAAGAGGGTCTGTGCAGTCTTCCTCCCTATTCCGCCATCTTTCCGGAAGTCCTCGAAAGTACAATTCTTATAAATATAAGCTTGTCTTTAATTTAGACTTAAGAAAGAATATCTTTTTCATTTATACCATCTAAAGTACCTTTTAAAACTATTTTTGCTTCATTTAATCCACCAAACAACCCTTTGAAATAGGTTAAGAAAAACCCACTGCCATCAAGTTGATTTCAACTCATAGCAACTCAGGAGAACAGAGTAGAACTGTCCCATGTGGTTTCCAAGGCTATAAAGCTTTACCAGAAGTGAACTGCCTCATCTTTCTCCTGTGGAGCAGCTAGTGAGTTCAAACCACCGACTTTTGGTTAGTAGCTGAGTACCATAAGCACTGAGCCACTAGAGCGTCTTATGAAATAGATGAAATAGTTGATACTGTCTTTATTTTATGGATTAAAAAACCCAGAGAAGTTAAGCCTGGATCTTGGCTTAAACAGTAGCAACGTAAAGTTAAAAGCCCTGCTTGGATCCATTCAGTGAACTGATGACATGACCAGAAATACAGTCTGGATTCCCTCACATTCAGTCAAATGAACTTCTAACTGATTATGTTCCCCACCTTCCTTCCTGTTAATACAGCTTTTCCTTGCCTTCCATACTCAGGACACCAGAAACACAACTTTATATCCATTATTACTATTTTGAATATGGTTGAAAGATAAGATGAACCCACTGCCCTTGAGTTGATTCCGACTCAAAGTGACCCCCATTGGATTTCTGAGGTGGTACATCTTTATGGAAGTAGAGTGTCCAGTCTTGCTTCTGTAGAGTGTCCAGTCTTGCTTCTGTAGAGTGGCTGGTGGATTTGAACCACCAGCCTTTTGGTTAGCAGTCAGATGCCCTAGGCACTGTGCTAACAGAGCTCCTTTTTTGAGGTGAGAGTATATCTACTTATATTTATTTCAGTATATACATAACTTAGAAACTAGTGTTACTGTTATCAGTTTAAGTTGAAAATTGAGATCTGTCTGTCTCCTTACAGGTGAAATTGTGTCAACTGCAAATGTTTAAAAATTTGGTTTGGAAAAGTTTTCTTTGCAAGTGTTTTTCATTTCTAGACTTTTTTTTTTTTTTAATTTGTGATTTGGGTGATAGTTTACAGGGGAATTTCACTTTCCATACAGCAGCTCACATATGCGTTTTCTCATGACATTGACTTCAGTTTCCCACAGTGGAGCAGCTCTCTTCCCGCTTCGTCCCCATAGTTATCTGTCTCCCATGCACTCCTCCTCCCAAGCTGTCTCTCTGTATACACAGCCCTTCTTATTCTCCCATGATTGATCTTTCCAGGGAGAATATCTACCTAATGTAAATGTTCAGCTCATATGCCTGTCTTTTGTTTAGCTGGAAGCCACAGGAGAGGATTCATTTCCACACCTGAAGGGTAGCTAGGGGCCATAGTCTCAGTGGTTCCATCAGACCAGCAAACCTCATTCTTTTTTTTTTTTTTTTAATT